GGAGTAACAAAGAGCCTGCTGTCTTCCACAGCTGTAATTAACCAGCCCAGTATATTAACACGGCATTTCTCCCCTGCCTTTCTGTCATGCTCAGCATTTTCAGACTTGCTCAGCACTAGTATTTGCTGAAAATCGAAGCTGATGACCAGGGCAACTCCTACAAACATCTGAAGGTGTTTTCATCATCATTTGGAGGAAAACACGAAGGGAACAGAATGTAGAGTTACCAAAAATGCTTGTGGGACAATGCTTGGCTTCCAGCCAGCTGGTCACGAGCCGGTGCTCACTGGTCATAACCCTTCCCTGCCCAAGACCACACATGGAAGCTCTGCGAGACCAAGGGACTGAATCCCAGCACCATGGTCCTGCTGCAGTGCCTTAAGCAAACAGCCAGCCTTTCTTACCACGCATTTTCTCTCCCACCCTGTCTGGTCCTACTTCCAGCACTTGTGGCTCAGTGTCTTATGCAATCACCCCCTTAATCATGGAGGCATGCATAATGTTTTGCACATGAAACCACAGAAAAGCATCAAACACTGCAATCAGTCTAAATTCCTGCCCTGGATACTTCAAAAAGACAAGAGTTAACAGAGGTTTCCTCTTGAAAACAGCTATTCTCCTCCAAGACTGCTTGCCCACTAGGGCCTAAGGAAATACAAGAGTTATAGAAATACATTAGTTGAAAGAACTCCTCCAAAAATAGAAAACAAAAGAAACAGTCTTTTGAAGGCTAATACCAAGCTTACCTAATAATGCAAACATTTCGAGTGGCAGAACACATTTTACAACCAAAGGCCTACTACTGCAATATTTTCCTGCTATAAAAGCTCAGACACACTATCAAGTTACTCAAAAAACGTGAGGCAAAATATCTCAGCTCAAACGTGATTTGACTCGCACATCTTCTCTCACACTTGAGACTGACCAAGAGCATTGGTATGGTCAGCTATTGCAAGCCAGCTGGCACAGAACAATGCAGCTGAAACATCCAGACAGAAGACCGGAGAGAAGTCTCTCCACATACTTTCACCAACGTGGACGTGCAGCCTCTCCTTCCCTCTCCCCTTCATTTTCAGCAGTCCTGCAGGCTCCCCTTGCCATCACAGGGTACGGCCGGCCTCCTCATAGAAGCCTCAGGTCCCAGCAACAGAGACAAGCCCCAAGCACGAATACAGAGATGAACTCAAGGTTTGACTGAGCAACCATGCTCAAAGACAGTCAGATCTGATGTGAACTATCTCACTGATTCGGTGGTGGGATGAATGTCTGCAGAAGAAATATTGAGAGAGCTTGTCCTCATGGTAGACTATTTTTACAGCTTCAGTCCTGACCCCAACAAAGCAACAACAGAACATCAGAGAACGTAAACAGAGGCTTTGCTTATAAACTATGCAAATAATGACCAACGCCAGCAGGCCCAGTGGGGCTGAAGTGCTTTTTTTCTGCCTAGCTCCAGCTCAGGCACTGTATTGCCACAAAGCAGGAGACTGTCCCCATCCACATGAAACAAGCAGAAGAGAACTCCATTTCCCATATGGGGCAGGGAGAAATGTCCTCCCTACTGTCACATAAGAAAGCCGCCAGCAGAACCGAGAGCTCCCAGAGCTGGATGTCTTGTGCCTTAGCCACAAAAAGGCCGCTCCTCTCTGAAGTCACAGGTCAGGATTAGACAATTGCACATGGCAGCATTTCACAGATAACTGACTTAATGAAAGGCACAGCTGTCATTTGTTTCCACACAGTTCAAACCAACCTTGGGGGCTGAATTCTGGGCATGGAAACCAGTAACTCATGATTTTCAGATTGCAGAACATCTCCTACAGGACACTGTTTTAAATCTTTTTAAGATTTGCGTTTTCCTGATCGCTCAACCTTTTCTAGCATCTTCAGGACTGAGCACAGGGCTAGGCTGGTCATCCCTTGCTTGAGAATCCGATCATTGTGACAATAGAAAAACAAAAACCTACTCACGGAGCTCAAGACATCCTCATGAATTAGCAAAGAAAAATAGAACCTCCACACTTGCTACATTATTGGTTAAACTGAACAGCAAAACAAACAAAAAAATGTTCATTATGAAAAATAGCAATTCAGTGCTACGTGGTGGTCTCTGTTCCACGCAGATCAGAACTGAGGCACTGACTGTGAGGTGAAGAAAGTGTCCATGGGTCCATACATTCTCCACAGCCAGAGGTTTTTAGTGTCCTCATTCTAGAAACACATCCCCAGTTACTTTCACAAGCTCAAGAGGTGGCTCAATGCAGGAAAGAGCAAGAGAAGCCACAGCCAGGAAGCAGTTTTAATTTGCTGATCTTAATACAAGTATGACCATGATAGGTCTTGTAGTAAACAGTAACCATTTCCAGCAATACTGGGAAGATTCACAGACAAGTGGAACAAAAAAAGTCTGTGAGGACAGGTCACAGAGCAAGACTATTCTTCCCAAATTTCTCTCTCATTCTTTCTTGCTTCAGTTGGAAGCACAGAGGGCTCATACCTTCCTCCAGAAACTTAATGGCGCAGTGTCTTTTAAAATTAAACAATAGGGTAGAAAAACAAAACCCCACGGAAATTGTGGCTACAGTTTTCATATCCTGAACACTGCCTTCTAAAAATATAAGGCATGCAAAAGGGTATTTCAACATATCTTAATCCACTGTAGAATACAAAGCTCACCAGACCTGACTTCAATTTGTGAGGTTTCTGCCCAAAGGGTTTGTGCCCATAATCTACCATAAACCAGTCTTTCAGCCAGTTTAAAAACTAACAAGCTCAGTGAAAACAACGTGACAGTCAGATCTACTGTTTCCTTGCCATGCTGTAAGTCCCTACAAGGAACTGGGTGAAGAAAGGGGGAGAAGGGGATTCATGCTCTAAGTTGAGAAGCTAAGAGGAAAGCAGGGC